CTGTAGAGGGCAGTGTCACTGGCCCTCATGTGGGATCCGGACCGGGGCCCTCTGGCGTCCCAAGCCAGTTCTTAACCATCGCGCCACTCGGCCGGCCCCAAGGGGGGCAGATCTTTATACTCCACATCCATCAGTCTTTGGATATGAACTGCCCATGAAAAGAGGTGTGACCTTGGTCAAATTGTTTTCCTTCAGTTAAGGCAATTCCTAGAGGGGGTTCTGGCCGTGGGGTTTTACTGTCACCATTCCCTGCAGCCAGGGAAATAAACCCTTCGTTCCTGGAGGGCACCTGGCTGTCTACCATGCTACATTAGTGAGTAGGACAAAGTGAGTGAGTGATTCCCTAGGGGTAAGGCCAGTCTTACTGTGACACTTCCAGTCATTTCTCAGAGACCACCATTTCAGTGGTGTGGACAGAGCCACATGATAATGCTGTGCCACCTCAATTCTTCCAGCGCTCTTGCCAGAACCACCTTCAACAACCACATATGGCACCCGAACCCTGAGCCCACTGGTGTTATTCCGTTGTCTGTTAACTTTTTGTTAATGATTTGCTTCTCCCAACTAGATTGAGTACCCCAAGGGCAGGGAAATATTAAAACTCGTTTTCTGTAATAGTTACCTTGGTTTCAGTCTCATCTTAAACATCTGTTGCTTGAGGGGAATAGATGTTTTGTTGTTCAGTTTATCCGACTTGATCAAGGTCTCCTGGGTTAGGTCTGATAACCCCGTTCCCTAGAATGGGGGTGGAGGGCGAGTGCCCTGCAGGGTTTAAACCTGCTCTAGCCTAACACTCTGCCCTGGCACTTAGAGCCCCACCAGTCCACAGAATCTGTGACTCCAGGGGGCCTGGGATTCGCATCATAAGTGGCTCAGGATGCTCATTCTCTTTGGGAGACACAGGTAGTGGAGAGCAAATAAAGCACTGGGGTTTAAGTTCAGGCCCTGTCACTCGCTAAGGGCGAGCACCAAATATCTGGTCCTCAATAATCTCACCCACACAATGGGGCTAATAACACCTCGCAGCACATATTAATAAGATAATATGTACTGACCAGTGCTGGGAGCCCAAGTAGGCACTCTGGACTCAGTATCATTGACCTTCTGGCAAATCTCCTTAGGTCAGAGGCAAATAATAAGGTCTTGTGAAAGAACTGGTGAGGGCTCTGAGGCACAATTTCTTAAAAGGTGATCCTCAGAATACCTGCTCAGCTGCCCCCAGGCCCAACCCCCCAGGCTTCCCTGGTTATCCTGAAGCACAATCAAGTTTGAGAACCACTTCCATCTCTTTTCTCCTCTGCTTTTATCAATGAATTGGTCATTGAAATGCGAGCAGATAGCTGGGTATAGGCTCTCAAGTTTTCTTAACTAGTTTTAGTTACTCCTGTGGAGTAATGACTCTTGTGGAAAAATGCTCATTACTTACCTGACTCATCGGCATGAAAACACATCCTATTTTGAAGCTAGCGTTTTAAAAGACATTTGAAATTGTTTCAAGGACTCAGCATCAGAAGCCCTTCGTATAATTCTCTCTCTCTCTCTCTCTCTCTCTCTCTCTCTCACACACACACACACAGACACACAAACACAGGCGCGCGCTGCCAAGGCAGCCATTGCTGACCTTGAGGCTGTTGGGAGAACAGATAACCCAGTGTTTGTTGAAATGATCATTGATTGGCTTAAATGCTGGAAACTTAAGATATGTAAACATCCAGACTGTGGGAACATCTTTTTGTACATCAAAGGATTGTCAAGTGCTTTTGTCTGGCTGCAACTTGCGTTTACTAACAATGTATCAGCAACAGCACCTGACTAGGAGACAAGGGATGCATTAGTCATCCGTGAAATGAGGGCAGGACCACAGCTAGCTCCCCCCAGGAGCCATCGACCAAATTGACATAGAAGCATATCCACTTTGCTGGGGATACTCTAGCTCTTCTTAGATTCTCAAAAAAGTCCAAACCCCCATGCGGTTTAAAAATTAGACTGGATATTGCAAAGGCTCCTTTCAGCTCTAAGGTTCTAAAAGAAAAGCAATGTCCCAGCTCCTTTTGGGGTCTGACCCGGATGGGTAACTGACTTCATTTGGTTTTTAGAGGCTTCAACGAGTGCTCCCTCCACACCACTTGCTCCTTCCCCAACAATTCAGGCCCCGTTGTGCAACACTCTTCACTTTGTACAAACAAGATGATTTTTCCCGCAGACAGTATGATTTAACTTGTTTTAATGTAGTCTGCTATAAAAATGGATGAAGACTTCTGCATGGTGCATTTGCTTTACAAATGTTAACGACGAGTTAATGCTTGTGGTATGTGGTACACATCATTACAATGTGTTGATCAGTCACTTCGCTTGCACAACATTGGCTTAATACCAAAACCGTGAATCATGGAACTTTTACTTAGCACACACACAATCTACAGTCAACTTAAATACTATTCTATAATGCCTAACTGGATTACTGGATCCATTGCAGTATTGTGCTTATTTATCTCAGAAGATAGGCAACTAGCAAAAATACACATTTCTTTTTCCTTTACCCACCCCCATATTACACTGTAAAAGAAATACATTATTCAGTGCACTTCCTAAGAAATAAACTTCCTTATAGTATCTCTCTCTATATATATCTATGCCAAAACAAAGGAAGAGCACAATGCAACGTTTAAGATTACCATTTAAAGCAAGAGGTAATACACTCTGGTGCTGTAGGCCCCTCTCCCTTTTAGAGTCCAGCTATCTCATCAACACCATTCATTTGGCTATGCGTGGGAATCAAGTTTAGTGCATGATGGCTTTGGACAGTTTAAGATGTCCCCTTCGTCATTTGGTTGATATTCTGGGGCATTACTAGTTTTTAATTTTTGATGTTATTGGCTTTCATCTAACTATAAGCTGTGGAGACACCAGCATGCTTCATTGTGATTTCTACCTTCATTTCTATCACCTGCCTTTCCTCCATCGACTCGGGTATATTGGATTAAGAAGTAATACGTAGATTTAAATGACAGCAGGTCAGGGACTGCTGGATAGATGTTGGCTAGAACATCTTATAACCACCATGTTGGAGTGGGCTGTGGCAGTCTTGTTTAGGAGAGGGAGATAGTCATTATGAAACCGGAGGCCAAACAGAGTCCGGGGCTTGTGCTGCCTGCGCCTCTCAGCCAATAGACCAACACTGGAGTTGGGTCATAGAATAAGCGTTTATGATCAGAGCACCGGTGGTCTGAGAAGGCAGCGGGTTAATACCTCCAAAAACCGCCTTCATTTTCCCAGACTGGCTGGGGGTATTTAAGGAAAAATCTGGGCATCCTCCAGAGGCTACCTGAGGGCTCAAGGGGTCTGCACGGAGCTTTTCCTCTGACCATGTGATTCTATGGTGGCATCAGCAACCCAGGAACAAGGATGGGAGTAGTCTGGAAAGAATGCTAGACCATAAAGATTGTGATCAATAAGCCTAAGGGTACTGGTCATAAGTTTCAGGGTAATTTTCTAAAGGGAACTGGGTGGGACAGGGGACATTCTGGGCTCAAGTCACAGGGGGATGATCTATTGTTAAGCTATAGGTAGGTCAAGGACAGGTGAGGCCAGGGACAGCGAGAGGCCTCTGCTGTCAGGGCACCAACCAGGCCCTGCTTCAGTTATGTTCTATGGACTTTGTCAGCTGTACTAGCCTGCAAGCTGGAAAGTCTGGAGGCTTCAGTCTCCACAAACTTGCTATGATGGAAATGACAGGAGTTTCTAGAATGGAAGAGGTTGCAACTTGATAGCTTGTGAGCGAAATCTAGCTGCAGAAGTGTTTAACATTAAAAAAAAAATCAGTTCTTGATATTTAACTGAGAATGTTTCTCATGAAAATCTGGATTTCATAAAAATCTGAGGAGCTGGTAAGCCAGGTCTGGCATTCTTGCAGAGCAACAAGCAGCTGGAGCTGAACGGGGTGGTGGGGGGAGGGACCTTTGAAATGGGGCTTGGGCACTCAGGTTGCTAGTCCCCACTACTCCCAGATGTCTCACACTCGACTGAGTGACCTGTTTCACTCATTTACATGACCAGCTGAGTTCTGTGACACTGGGGTTGGTTGGCTCTGTCTTTTTATGACAATGGAGACCTGACTTCATCTGGAATTTCCCCACCTCCTTGGGGACAGGATTCCTCCTTTAATTGACGGGCCCAGCCACATCTAGTTGCTTTGGTAGGTAATCTTAACATGCATTCCTACTAGTCCTTTATGCTATATTGCAAACTCCAAAGATATAATTACATGAATATTTATGTGTAAGTGGGCGTATGTTAAACACGTAAAGGGGTGTGTATCTATACAGATATATGTATACTTCCATTTAGACAAAAGGTAATTTGGTTCCACAGATACAGACACCAAGTGTTGGCAGCTTGGAGAACAAGTGTAACAATTTGGTAAAACCTATATAATTCTGACTTATAACATTACAAAGAGAGTGAATTTTAAGTTATTGCTTTTTGATTACAGAATAAAGATCTCATCCTATTGCAGAATTTTTATTATACAGAATGAGTAGCCAGTTCCTATTCAAGTACTAATAATCAGAATCAAAAGTTCCTTACTCAACAGATGCCTGAAGACAATTTTCTGAATGGAGATGTGATTTCGTTCTATTCAAGAATTTATGCAGGAAACCGGGAGTGACTTAATTTTTCCAAAGCACAAGAAAATCAGCACCCAGCTGCTTAATGCTCAGGAGGGTTTCTCACGGGTTCTACCAAGTTCAGCTTTGTGGTAAGTTCACACGACCGTTAGGATTCCCGCTCTACTTAGGCAGCCTTGTTTCTGAACAGAGCTTGTAGTATTAAAAACAGTAAGAAAGGATTAAAAGCAGTGTTGGTTTGTAACATTCAGAATTCAGAGGATCTCCTTTTCTGCAGCTAAATGAGCCGCTGTGTGTATGTGTTTGCTGCAGGATCACATTCACGTGGCAGTCTTATTTCAGGCACTTTTAAAAAACATGTTTGTCTGGATCGGGAATAAAAATCTGCATGAACCACTTCTGCATAATTCAAAACGAGTGTCGCGTGATTCTAGTCCTCAAGTAGACAGCAAGCCACCACCTAGTAACCAATTAGCTTTCTTCATCACAACATAATGGTGACTGCTCAGCTTGAGACATCTTTGAGGTGTCTGTCTAGCTTGATAGTACAAAGAGGTGAGTCATAAAAATTCAAACTACTCAGTTTCTACTATTAAAAAAATACAAAAAGGTGAAATATGCTAAATGTATTATACAGATGATTTCAGCTACTATCAAAATAAATAACATGATCTGACTCAATGGTTTGACTCTGAGCTCTTGGGCCAAGTATGCTGGAATGTCAAATGCGGAGCCTCCCTCCTAGGGACTAGCTGCTGGTTGGCAGGGGTATCTCCACATCCTTGCCGTTGGCGACGACAGCATTTGAAGAGCAGCTGCTTGTGAGGTCTTCTGTGGTGGTCAAAGAGGACGCGTGGGAATGAGTTTTGGTCAGTGGGGCAGGAGCGGATGGAGAAGGAGTGAGGCCAGGTTTTTTGGGTGGGATGGGCGGGGGGTTTCCTCTCTCAGCTCTGGGAATGGTAGGAGACTTGATCCCTGGAGACAGGGGACTCAGAGGACTAGACACTTTCCCTGGAGTAGGTGAATGGCTGGTGTCACCTCTTGGGGTGGCAGTGTTGGCCAGGTTTCGATAGTCTGTGCCAAAGGGGGAGCTGTTGGGAGAGACAGGCTTAATGGGCCCTTGCTGGCTGGTGAATCTCGAGAGCACCTGAGTGACTGTGTTTCGGGCCAGCTGCTTGGCGGTGGAGTTGTCTATGAGGGTGGGGGACAGATCCCTGGATGGGGGGCTCTGCAGACCGCTAGCTTGTTGCTCCTGATCTGCTTGGGACTGAAATTTGTGCCGAGCTGCATGGAACCGCTGGTTGATCCCTACTTGGTAGGATGACTGGTAGCCGGGGCTGCTAGCTGATGACCCTAATAAACGCTTAGTTAGTACTGGTGAAGAGCAAGGAGAGGACGAGAGGGAGGAGGAGGCAGTGCTGCAGGGAGACAGTGAGCTCGCACTGGAAGGGAGGTGACCAGGCATTGGGACTGGACTTTCGAGTCCCACAGGAGACCCACCATTCTCCACTGCTTTCTCTTGGACCAATGCCACAGATTTCTCTCGCGGAGGCACTTGGTTTTCTGCATTGCTACCTGTAACCAACTCCTTGGTAGTTTGTATCTCTGGGTCAAAATGGCCATTGGTTTTTGCATAAGAGTAAGGAGGCGTGGTGGGACCAGGCAGCCCAGTGCTTGTTGCCTTGGCTACGTTGCTCCCATGGGTTCTTTCTGCCTGAAAGCTCTCGGTTTGGCAGAACACAGACACTAGCATGGGAGGCTCGGTCACTGTGCCTTTAGACACGGTTACCGGTTTCTTCGGCTGCTCATTCGGGCTACTGTGCTGGTGAGAAGCTTCCAGGTCTTTCACTATCTTCTTCAAACTTTCCATCTCTTCTTTCAGAGTTCTGGTTCGGTTCTCTTCTCGGTTCAGTTTGGCTCTCAGTTGTTCTCTTTCGATATCGAACTCTGACAACTGCTTCTCCACCTGGGCCTCGGTCTGTAAGCCTCGCTTCCTCTCAGCTGCCAGCTCTTCCTCCAGCTTGCTTGCCCGGCCCCTCTCCTTCTCCAGTTTCAGGCTCAGCTCTCCGGCCTTCTGCCCCTCCTCGGCTGCCTTGCTGGTGGCTTTCTTGCACTCGAGGACCAGCATGGAGGACAGCTGCTTATGGCGGGAGCGCTCTTCTTCCAGCTGACTGGACAGCTTCTTCTGCTCTTTTTCAAACTTTTTCACTTGGGACTTTTCAAATTCCAACTAGAAAACAACGACAACAACAAATGCCACCGCATATCCTGATTAGAGTAAAACAACAGAGATATACTGAAAACCTACTATAAGTCAGGCGCCCTGGCTAGCTGTTCTTGGCACAAAGGATGACGACGAAGCCGTGTGCTTCGATCAAGTATTAGGATACCTGACCCAAAAATGTACACGTTATCATGTAACCTTTCTTTGATGATTTAGGGAGCACTTCTAGTTCTTATACAGTCTCAGGATTATGAGTGGAAAGATGAACCATCATTGTGTTTTAGGTGTGTGGAGAGCTTGGTGCATTAGAGCCAAGCCAAACAGAACGCCATAGAAACCAGATTTTGTGATTAATGCTGCTGAAAGCAAAACCTGTAAGCTTCAGTAATAATTCTTTCTGGTTTTAAAAAAAACAAATGCAGTCTGTTTTCGTCATCCTCCCAACCCCATTTAAAGGAAGGGTTGAAGGAACTCTTAGTCGGTATTTTTCAAACTTTGAGACCCACTAATGGATAAAGAAACTGATGTAGTGAGTCATGACCAGAACCTTAAAAAAAATAAAATAGGAAACATCAATGAATATTGGGAACAATAAGGGTTATGTATGATTTCATAAAAATTTTGTTTCAGGCCTGTGTGATATAAAATGCACTTCGTACTGGGAGTTAAAAAAAGTTTGACTGCTCAAAGTCAGTGTTCCCCAAAATGTGTTCTATGGAACGATAGTCCCACAGTGAATGATCTATGTCAAAACCAGATTTTATGAAAACACAGGTTTGCAAAACACAGAATAATACTCCATCTTGTTCTTGAAGACTTACAACGTGCTTTTGCCTACTAAAAGGTCTAAGAAATTCAAGTTAGAAACCTGTTTAACTTTGTTTAATCCAGTAATTCCTAGACTTATGTGACAACAAAGGCTGTTTCTTGAGTGACACTAATTTACACCCTGCAGAACAATTTCTGAGAAACGCTATTAGGCAAACGCTGCTGGGAAACCCCTCCACCTTAATTACCTGTTGTGTCAGCCGCTCTCTCTCCTTCTCCAGCATGTAGGTGACATCATCTCCTTCTGCGGTGTCCTGTGCATGCCTCTGCCTTTCTTCCTCAAGGTCCAGGATCACCTTTAAAGAATTCAAAAAAAAAAAATCATTTCCAAACATCAAGGAATCACACTTATAATACAATTAAGTACTAAGTGTCTATCTAAGCACCTAAGAGAATTCCAGACATAGATTAAATAAATAAATCCCAGCCGGGGCGATCAAGTATATTGTCTAGTGGGGTGAAAGACAGGCAAGTTATGTGATAAAAACAATAAGATACGTGCTTTATTGAGGTGTGCACATGGCATGTAAATAAGAGGGCAACTAATTAGCTGCAGGGGCTGAGAAGGCTTCTGAGAATTCATAGGAGGTCAGTTTGGTGGCACCAGGGGACAAGTGTTTGTGATGAAGAAAGATAGGACCATGGAAAGCTGGAAGCTGAGGTGCTCCCCTCAATGCTCAAATCATTGGAGGCACGAAAGAGGGGGCTGAAATTAAACACTTCAGACCCGTGATATCCAAATTGTGCCTTGCTTAAAACGCTTAACATGCGTTTTGTATATAGTTAGATAAGCGGTGAATACTCTCTTCACTTCATCCTGCATGCAAACAGCCTCAAATATTGGGATATTAAGTGGAGATTTTTTTCACAGGGCCCTTTAATTAACCTGCCTACCCATTCCACTTATCCTGGTGCCAGGCATTAAGCCCAGTTTTAAGGAATACAAATTAAAACGGACATTTGCCACATAATCCTGCCTCTAACTGCACACTATTCCAAATGGCAATGGATTGCTGAGTAGCTTCTGCTCGGGCCGCGGCTCAGACCACCGGATCACAGTACTGCCACCCAATGGCCATTTCTCATTGTTTCTCTTCATGAACTGTTTTTGTGAATGGACAGGGAAAATTTTCTAGGACATGAAACTCCTCTTCAAACACAAAAATAAGAACATTTTTATACTTCCTTACGGTTAAAAAAAAAATCTAAAATTTCAATTTAATAGAAAGAATGGGCTTTTGGCTAACGGTGGTAGATCATTTCCTTTCCTTCCTGAGGGCCCTCCGAAATTGTAGGAATAAAATGAAAAGAACAAAACCCCACAAAGACAAAGAGAGGGACTAGCAGACAAGGAATTTTAATAACATTCTGAAGAAAAAATGAGGCTGGAGGAATGGTAACTACTTTAGCCTGGGAAGGAAGCTTTCACCCTTCAGGGCCCCAGAGAGATACGGAGCCTGAGGGTGGCGTGTACATCAGAGGAGAGGTGCGACGTGGGACGCGCTCAAAGTCTATTTTTCAGAAGTTATTGGGTTGTTGGAAAAGTCACGACACATTTTTGCAACGAAAAACAGAAAAAAATACGTCATGACTTTTCCGACAATCCAATATTTGTCTCCTTGACTTTATTCCCATACGTAGAATGTGAGCAGCCAGGCATCTACTGCCCAGGCAAAAGGCCAGATGTTTATGATAGAGAATGAGCCAGGCTCCGGACTTGGGAAGAGCAGACATGATGGAGAACGGGGGTGAGGAAAGGGGATTATGTTCGTTTGGGGAAAACGGTAGGGGTGAAGGGAGAGAGAGGTGGGGTGAAAATAAAACCCACATCTATAACAAAAGGCATATATGTGTCTAAAATTGATAAAGCGAGAGAGCAGCATATTATTTAGAAATATGGAAGCTAGCTACCAAAATAAATGGTTCATAAAAAAAAATGTTTGTGGGCCGGCCGAGTGGTGCGTTGGTTAAGAGCTGGCTTGGGACGCCAGCTCTGAGCAGCATGGCCCCGGTTCGGATCCCACATTAGGGCCAGTGATGCTGCGCCCTCTACAGCTAAGATGGTGAACAACAGCTCAACCTGGAGCTGGGCTGCCATGAGGCGACAGTGTAGGCTGTAGTGGGCGCCTGTAAGCTACCCTGAGTGGCTGGCGGCCGGCAGCCGGTGTGAGCTGGTGTGAACTGCCGTGAGCCGCCGTGAGCGGCCGTCCAATGGCCTGCGAGTGACTGCCTCACCGGGGAAGAACACAATGATAATACCAACATGGGCCAGTAAAGCGACATCCTCCACAACTAGACTGAAGAACAAAAGGACAGCAACTTGTCTGTTCCCCTTCACTGATTCCCCAATAAAATCTTTAAAAAAAAAATGGTTGTCTGAATACTGAGGAGCGGGAATGGGAAGAGGTGGACTAGGGGACTCTGCTTTTCATAATAAGCACAGTAACCATGTAATTCACTGTTCAAACCACAGCACTTCTGAGAGTCCAAGGGGGTATTATTAATAACTGTGCCAACGAGAGAGGCAGACGCTGGGCCTCTCAGGCACACTGGGACTGTAAGCACCCTAATCAGGTGCTGCTCAATTTCTAATAAAGTCAGTGTTTTATTTTGGGAAAAAACTTAAGGACAGATAGGCAGTTGGTTTAAAATATTTAACACTCAAAGATTCTTACAATGAAATACAGTATTAAAGAAATCTGAATTGTTTTAAACTTCTCTCCCCCATCACCTAGAGCCACAAATCGTCCACACACTACTCCTCCCATGGGCATGCCAGTCAGCCAGCCTGCAGCACAACTATTTCATGCGTGAAGTGGAAAAAGGGCTGTCCATCCAACAGGGGTGTTGTGAGGATTTTCTTAGAGGATTAGGTAAAAGTTCTGCAAAACTTAGGCACCTAACTCGAACCCAGTGGCATCTTTTAAATTGGGGGCATAAATGTCTTCAGGTTATTTCATTCTAGATCAGAGGTTAAACTTTTCTGGGTCTTGGACAACTTTGAGAATGCAATGAAAGATATATGGAAATTTTTATTTTCTACAAAATGCATAAACTTTTGGCATTCTGCAGTTTTTGTGGGTGGGAGTGTCATAGAACATCTGAGGCCCGTCCATGGTTCAGAGCCTCCACTTGGGCCTTTCATTTGGATTCTGTGAAGGGAAAGAAAAGTTATGAGCAAGACCTAGCCGAAGCAATTTGTTAGATGCGTTGTAAGCATACGGCAGGTAACCATAAACGTGAACCAAGGTCCACCAAACTGCAGCTGCTAATCCATTGTTTCAGAATAAAATGCTTCTTACAAAATGTGCTGATGTCCCCCCTTACTGGTATGACTCTTAACCAATAGTTTTTAAAAAAAAATACAGATTCTAGCCAAGCATCTTTTACAGGCCAGTTTGAGCAGTAAATGACAAGACTGGGAATAAAAGCACAAGCAGTAGAATTCCAGTGAGATGAGGCAGAGAATTGCACAGGTCAGGACCTGGAAACACACACACAAACACACACACACACACACACACACACACACGCTTACCTAACAGGGTAGAACAGCTTTCAGGTAAACAACCCTAGGGACTGTTTATGGTTTCATGAGAAGTAAAATGCAATGGAACTCAAAACTAGGAATAAATGAAAATAATCTTATTGGCTTGGATGTTTATAGCCAGGTAAATTCTCGCTCTCTCATTCCCCAAATACCTGTTAATCTATTTATCACTTAAGTAAGCAAACAGAGAATGCTCTGTTCAGTTACAAACTCGGTCAAACCCCAGTCCGTTGCCAAAGCTTGGATGATGGAGAGCTGAAAAAACATACCAAGCGTTTGGAGTGTCATATCAAGAAGGAATGGTGTCTTGAATGTGTCTGGCACACTCCCTAAATCTCACATTTGGAATAACCTGTGTTTTCTTTTCTATCTCCTGGCTTCTGGGTAAGCTGAGGGGCTTTTTAACACCTGTGGGACCTCCCGATTGAGTTACTGTGAAAACTGGCAGCTGACAAGACAGCATCAGGCATGATTTACAAAGTCTTCGTGGGAGCACGTGTAGCCCAGCCACCTGGGGGAGGCGGGGCGCCTACCTTCCGGTGCCGGCTCTCGGCAGCAGCCAGTTGGGACAGCATGCGCTCCTGCATGTTCTTGCACTGCTTCATCACCACCTTGAGAACGGACAGCGGGTTTGTACAGACCGGTTGCTTTTCGCCATCATTCTTCTCCTTCAGCGTTTCAAAGTCTCTCTGTAGAGCCATCAAAGGATCACTGATGTTATATTTTCCATAGCGTTCTTCAATGAAAGTATCTCTGTGTTGGGCCTGGAAAAGAGAGAAAAAAAAATGAGCATTCTGCTTTGGAAAGTTACTGAGGAGGAGGATTTACTAGTAATTATATGTTAAAGGTGGTGGGGTTAGTACGAGTGTAGCCTGCTGACCACAAATCTGATGGGGCCATCTGAAGATAGAAACATCAGAATAGGAGCGGTTCGATGCCCGGCCTGAGCTGAGCTGCCGCTGAGCTGCCAAAAGGTGGCAGGATGGCTCAGCTAAAAAAAAACCCCACCAAAAACCAAAAAAACAAACATCAGAATAGGGGCAGAGTATATTATCAAGAAAAAATACGTACACAGCGCTATGTTTTAGACACTGTCGTAAGCATTTATATTGACATTAACTTAAATTTTACAGTCCTATAAGTAGTGCTATCATCTCCATTTTGCAGCTGAGAAAACTATGACAGAGAGCTCAATAACTTGCTCCAGGTTATTCATCTAGCAAGTGGTCAGACTGGGATTTAAACCTAAGCAGCCTGGCTCTAAAGTCTGTGTCCCTAACCATCCTACTTACTGCCTCTGCTTATGATGCTTATATTACCAACAGGTATATCTGATCTTTTGTTTCTGTTATGGCATTTGCATTTCTAAAATATGCTAAGCATAATTGTGTGAGTTTACATATTCAGAACCTGACACGTGGCTGTAGATAAGTAAAGGATGTGGAAAATATTTTCACTTATGATCTAGGACTACCTGTGATTTCTACCTACAGAACTTCACTCAATTGTTGGTGAATCACAAGACGGCAGAGGCGCTCACAAGAAGCCCAGACAAAATCTCTTCTCTCTGCTGCCAAATTCCACCCCCTCCTCTTCTAGTCTTGGTTTAGCTACCTTCCATCCTCCTATCTATTCCCTTCAGGGATGGTGAGCTTTGTGAATGACAGGTGAGCAGGGAATGCAGGCTGGTGCTTGAGTCTGGTCTAGGGCTTTGGGCCTAGGTGCTGAGTTGGGTATAAGGGTCAGGAACAGAAAGATTTTCTTAGGTTTCCCTCTTCTCTTCTCTCTGCTGGGAAGGACTGGAAGTACTACACTTCATATGAGCATCATATATTACGTGCAGGTGAATAGTGACATTAACAATTACTTTACTATACAGGCATTAAAGCTTCCTGAGACATTTTACAAAAAAAAAAAAAAGTGCTAATATAGCATTGAGGAAATTTTCTCAAAAACCACAGCAAAGTACTATATGAAACCTACTGTCATTTATCAATGAAAAATTATTTAATTAGGAGCTATATTTTCTTAGAACTGCCATTCACAAATAGAAACCCATTTGAAAAGAAAAGGAAATTCACAAGTCAATGGCTATGCTTACAAAAAAATCCCTCAAGAAAATAAAGCAAAAGTGGGGTTTCTTTAACACAGAAGTATGTTTCAGTGCTGAAAATTTGATGCCTCTTTCTTTAATCAACTGTCCAAGTTCAAGACCCAGGAATCACTTAGCCTATGCCACAAATTTTTGTTGGTATCTGTTGGCAAATGTTCGATGCAGAGTTACAAGCTCTGGGTTTTACTTTTGTCTTGACTGCAAGATGACATTATTGAAGTATTTGGATAATAACTGTATACTGGAAATAGAAAGAATGAAATCCATTTGTTCCTTTAAGTTACTGATAACCATCTTCCTAACCTTATTGTGTGTGTGCATGCACGCACTCACAAATCAAAGAGAGAGGTATTTGAAAGACAGAGTCCAAGACAGAATCTTATTTTTTTTTTAGCTTCAAATTAAAAAGAAAATTCTCAGTAAAATTTCAAAATAAGCTCTAATCCATTTAGAATGGAGAAAGACAAGACCAATTCCTGAAGTGGCTATTTATATTTTATTATATTTAAAAAATCATGATGAGAGTTTTCTAAAAAGCTAGTTTTTAGTTACATTTTTAAAAAGCAACAGTGTCAACACGGGACTCTTCGATGTTTTCCTTTCACCAAAAACGTCCATTTCTTTAAGTTCAGGTATAAAAACATGAGATTGATAACCCAGGATTCAATAACAGTATCTATTTATAGCCATTAATATCCTAAGGCAAATCCATGTTTAGGAAAAATGCTTAAAGGAAGTAAGAGAAAAAACCCCTTTAAGTTGAAATTCCACTTCTTTTGTTTTACTTTTATTAGCACTTATTTGATGTTGAATTTACTCCAGGGCCATAAGTTTATGTTTCTTCAGTTTCTTCTGGGAGATCTTTTTCTTCTGTGCAGCCTTCTCTTCTGGTTTAGGAGCAATCAGCTCTTTCTCTGTCAGCATCACCTCAACGTGGCAGGGAGAACTCACCTGTGGGTTAATCCACCCATGAGCTCTACAAGTTCTGCATTGCATCTTGGGAGCTTTGTTCACCAGGCCGTGCTCAATGACCAGAGTCTACATCTAAACCCTTAAGTGCAGCATTACTCTCTGCATTTTTAAGCCTGTGCAGCAAAAATGCTGCACTTTTTTTGGGCCACCGACCCTGCATCCAACTCCACTGTTTGGCCTGAGCACACCTCCCAACTCCACCATTGTGACGATGGAATGGCACACACTGCTTCTGTAATGTGACATCCTTTAGATACTTGGTGGCTTTTCAGATATGCATACCTGTGATGGCCTGGGCAGTTTCACGAGTGTTCTCAAAAGAAACATGAAGATTTGAACCTCTTGATTTACATGATTTAGTGGGGTTCTCTGGGTGAAGCGAATAGCGAACCATTTTCAGAGGTCACTTTCAGGCTGCTTACAGAAAGGGCGAAATTCCACTTTTTAAATTGTCACACTTTTTATTCATAATTACCGTTTCTGCATGATTTGTGATGGTAAAGGAATGATTATTGGTACTGAACTTGGTTTAGTGTGGCAACCCTTCCCAAACCTGAATATTTTTATGCCCTTTTCCTTTTTAGAACACCATGGAGAAAGTGGGATGGGAGGAACTGGAGCTGGGAGTACCACTCATGACCTTGACATCAGATCTGCTGAGAAACTGCCTCTCAGGTTTGAGTATATAGTTAACTAATCCTTAAAAATATGACTTAAAAACCCACACTGTTATTATCGTGTATAATTAATAAGCATCGCTGAGTTATGAGTAATGGATGAGGAGCTTGTTTGGTGAGGTCTCAGAATTCTCTGAGAACAGTTGTTACACTGTCTGTTTGCTCTTGAAGTATTTCACAGTAACGCCATAATCACTTGCATAGTAATTACAAGTTATACAAAATTGGTTGCCTTGCACATAAATGAAAAGAATCTGTGGAATAATCTAAAAAAACCTCCTTGTCACAAAATAATTCTTTTAAATACATTCTAACATGAGGCCCAAACATGGGAAAAGTGAATTCAAGGTCTGTATGTATTATATTATAGCAAACACTGGACTGGAAGATGGGAGACAGGATAAGGCATTTTTCAACCAACTTAACGCCTCAGTAAGGTGACTTATATGGATGAGAGGTTTAACAGCACCAATAATGACAAGACAACCAAAAAAAGGTGTTAGGATTTGAAGAATGAAGACTTTTTGTGGTTATCTATTCCTGCATAACAAATTACTCCCAAATTTAGCAGCTTAAACAGTAAACACTTTTTCATCTCCTAGTTTCTGAGGGCCAGGAATCTGGGAAGGGCTGAGCTGGGTGTTTTCTGGCTCAATGTCTCACGAGGTTGCCATCGAGCGGTTGGCTAGGGCCGCAGTCAGCTTAAGGTTCAACGAGGGCTGGTGGATCTGTTTCCAGCTTCCTCGCATGGCTGCTGGCACAGGCCTTGGTTCCTTGCATGTGCTGGCTTCTCACAGAGCAAGTAACGCATGAGACAGAGACAGAGACAGAGATAGAGACAGACTCATCAACCAAGATGGAAGCCCCAGTATCTTTTATAACTTAATCTTGGAAGTGACATACCATCACTTCTGATATATCCTATTGGTCACACAGACCAACCCTGGTAAATGTGGGCGGGGACTACATAAAGGCGTGATTAGCAGGAGGTGGGATCACTGGGGGCATCTTGGAGGCTGGCTTCCACCAGATGACTGACCTAGATAGGCTACCACTAGTAACATCTCGGCTGAAAATTTAGAGACCAAGCACCGATACTAAAACTGTCAAGGCTGTTTTAATATTTTACTGATATTTCAGCTACTTCATAAGAAATTTTAAATGATCTGGGTTTGACTTTTTGGGGAAGGAATTCAGTAATACAGCTAAAACCAAACAATTTCTTGTAATTTCATTATTTTCACTTCAATGACAACATATTTTAACAATAGAAATTTCTATATTGTCAGAAAACTGAATGATCTTTAATTTTAGATAACGAAAATAATCGGCTGCTCTGACAGATTCAATTATATAGCGTTATTACTACACGAGACAAAACACACTAGTCACCTATTACTCATTTATTTTTACAGTCACAGGCTGAATGAAACATCACTATTGAAAGCTTAAAATAAAATCACATAATATCCTTGGAGTCTGCCATGTTTATTCTCTAAAATTTCAGCTTTGCTATGACAATCTTCAAAAAGAAATACGAAGCAGTCACCTGACCTCTCTCGTTCTCAATATTATTTAGACTATTCTATATACAACATAGCATATAATATACATAATAGTATAATAAAATATATAAATAAAAGTATAATACAGAGGGTGCCAAAAAATGTATACACATTTTAAGAAAGGAAAAAACTATTAAAATTACACTGATGAGAACCACTTTGAGCACCTTTTGTAATTGCATAAGTCAAATGTGACTTGTATTCATCTTTTTTTATCAGTCTATATTGAGTAATACAATTTTAATACAGTTTTTTCCTTTCTTAAAATGTGTAAATATATTTTTTGGTACCTTCTGTATATATAGTATACTTTTATAGTGTATATACATATATGCACATATGTACATATATTCCAATCTTAAAATAGGAAATCATTCTCTATTCTCCAGATGATAACCACCAATGTGAAAAGTGGTTCCACATCTAAAGGTAAAGAA